ATATTCGACGAACCGGCTAGACGAAGCAGCTACAAACAGTGTTGAAATAAATATTCAATTTCTCTTTAACAGGATATTTGCTTATTTGCAATTTCAGATGTAATGCTTGTTGCCTCATGACTATACGAGTTGTATACATTTAGTCGAATTCATATACACGGGAAACTCATTAAAGACGGGAAACTCATCGAAGACGGAAAACTCGTCTGGGAGAGAAACTCGTCTTAAATTCGCATTTAGACGGATCAGTAAATCAGACGAATTTGAGAAATATCAGCACGGTCGACGACGGAGACGGAAGAAGGCTACGGAAAATAAACACAATTATTAACGTAATGATTACGCATTACCCCAATTCACATTCAGACGGGTTTTTACGGCTATCAACTTTCCATTCTCAGTAACATGAGTATTCAGCTTTTCTTAATTCTTGTACTTTACTTTGAATCTACTTCATTAAAAATACAAAACAATCGCACCGTAACCATTAGCTTCACTTGGGCCGCATATAACAACTAACTTATGGAAACAATAGTGCTTTAAGGCACTTCATACCTTGTATGTGATATTATAGCGAGAACACAAATGGCTACTATGAGGTTACAAGCTTCGAATAAGATACAGTTGTGTGCGTGTTTTAGACGAGAAAATAAATCATGAGCGTTAAAAAGAACTCCTTTAATTTGTTATTTCATTTGAGATCCTACCCATAAGGTATTCAGTAAAATAAAAAAGTACAGCCTTTCATCGCAAGATCGTGCGGTCTGCTGGTAAAGGCAGTGCTCTGCGAGTTTAAAGGCGGAGGTTCGGGTCCGAGATGGGAAAGTTTTTTCTTCCATTTTATCAAAAATACTTCCAAAAAGGATTAGGTAAAATAAAAAAACTGTTGGCTTTCACCACAAGAACTGGTGGTGTAATGGTGACGACGATGATCTGCCAAATATACAGACGATGGTTCAAGCCTTGGACAAACCGAAAACGAACAAGGTAATAAAGTGAGAATTTGTGAGTGTGAGAGGAGTAGAGCGAGAGGGCGAATATGCCCTCGCCTTGGGCGAGGAGTAGACTGAGGGGGGTTCTCTTTCCCCCGGCTTTCCTGACTTTCAAAGCAAGCTTTCTTCAAACATTTAATGGTGTTAGGGGATAGTTGGGGGTATGTGAGGATAGGAAAAAGTAGGGATAGATAGGAGTAAATAGGAGGATAAATAGGGGTAAAGAGGTTTAAATGAGTACAAAAAGACTTAAACATTTTATATAGCGTTTTCTCACCTATACCCTTTTCCTTTCCCCGGGAGCCGAGGCCGCCCAATTACTAAGTCTTTTTGTACTCGTATACCCCTCATTCACCCTATCTATCCCCTGATTTCCCTAAACATAACTTTGATTTGCAAAGATTAATCGAGTACAAACCTCTTCCGAGCAACATTCCTACCATTTTTTTATTTTTCCTTTTCTTTCCACCGCCATGAGGAACGTACCATACTGTTCTTGATACCACGATCTTGTACTTGATAGTCCACGACTTTACCACAAGGCTACCTGGTGATTGTTGGAAGCCTACACCAATTTATTCACCATAACCTTAGCACGTTTTATTAATAACGAAAATTTTCATCCAAAACGAGATTCGAACCTTTGACTGTCAACACATGAGACTAACATCTTGACCACAACACTACTAGATCTTGTGCTGAATTGCCATGGTTGTTTAATTTACTTCATCCTTTTCACGAAGTTCATAATGAAAAACAGGTGTGGTAGGATGGGAACCATCGGTTTACCACTTGGGACAACATTGTCTTCGCCACAACACTAGAAGATCTTGTGCTGAACGGCTGTGGTTATTTAATTTACTTTATCCTGCTCACGAAATTCAAGTCAAAAACAGTTATGGTAGGATTCGAACCGTTGATTTACCACTTGGGACAACATTGTCTTCGCCACAACACTAGGAGATCTTGTGCTGAACGGCTGTCGTTATTTATTTACTTTATCCTGTTCACGAAGTTCATAATGAAAAACAGTTAGGGTAGGTTCGAATTATATATTTACCACTTGGGACAACATTGTCTTCGCCACAACACTACAAGATCTTGTGCTGAACAGCTGTGGTTATTTAATTTACTTCATCCTTTTCACGAAGTTCATAATAAAAAACAGTTATGGCAGGATTCGAACCATCGGTTTACCACTTGGGACAACATTGTCTTCGCCACAACGCTTTAAGATCTTTTACTGGACAGTTGTGGTTATTTAATTTATTTCATCCTTTTCACGAAGTTCATAATGAAAAACAGTTATGGCAGGATTCGAACCATCGGTTTACCACTTGGGGTGTACAACATTGTCTTCTCCACAACACTACAATATCTTGTGCTGAATTGCTATGGTTATTTAATTTACTTGATCCTTTTCACGAAGTTCATAATGAAAAACGGTTATGGCAGAATTCGAACCATCGGTTTACCACTTGGGACAACATTGTCTTCGCCACAACGCTTCAAGATCTTTTACTGGACAGCTGTGGTTATTTAATTTATTTCATCCTTTTCACGAAGTTCATAATGAAAAACAGTTATGGCAGGATTCGAACCATCGGTTTACCACTTGGGGTGTACAACATTGTCTTCTCCACAACACTACAATATCTTGTGCTGAATTGCTATGGTTATTTAATTTACTTGATCCTTTTCACGAAGTTCATAATGAAAAACGGTTATGGCAGGATTCGAACCGTCGATTTACCTCTTGGGAGACCATTGTCTTCGCCACAACACTACACAATCCTGTGCTGAACGGTCGTGGTTATTTAATTCACTTTATCCTTTTCACAAAGTTCATAATGAAAAACAGTAATGGTAGGTTCGAATTATCGATTTATGACTTGGGAGACCATTGTCCTCGCCATTAGGCTACAAGATCTTGTGCCTAACAGCTATGGTTATTTGATTACCTTACCTCTTTTCGTAAGCATAAAGAAAATATGCTTTAAAGTAAATCATCATAATCAATTTAAACTTATAAATATATATATATATATATATATATATATATATATATATATATATATATATATATATATATATATATATATATATATATATTTATAAGTTTAAATTGATTATGATGATTTACTTTCTTGTCTTAAACGCACAAAACTAAATTTTATTCGTAGCTTTAACTTAATAATATCAACATTTGTGCTGATGCTTAATATCACAGGCATGGAGTCCATTGAGAAAAGGAGCAGCATTATCTCGCCATAAGCTAGTATATGCGGCCCAGGTAAAGCTAATGGTTACGGTGCGATTGTTTTGAATTTTTAATGAAGTTTAGTCTGAATTCAAAGGTCACAAATTAAAATTTGAGGAAAATGGTAACTCAGATTCCTTAGCATGTTTCAACATTTGCCACTTATTTCACAGCTGAAATTGTACTCCAAATCTCCAACATAACGCAACAGATATTAAAACTGCACTTCTCCTAAGCTGCGTTTACACGGTACCATCCGCTCGTCACAACATATTCCTTCCCATTATGAAGCAACCAATAATAAATGCTTTCTAATTTGATAGATTAGGCATATTTATTCAGGGCTCGGAAATGAAAAAAATACACTGTCTTTCATTAACTTCAAAACTTCAGCCAAAATGGTATAGGCTGTAATTCATTTTCAGCATGTTAAGACATTTCAGAAATTTTTTGAAAATCCCTAATTTTGCCCAAATTGGTAGGGATAAGTATCCGTCACTATTTTGGCCGAAATTATATTTTTGAATTTTTTATTGCTCCAAAACAAATATGCCCAAAAACGAAGTAGATTAGCCTTAGTAAATATTGAAGCCATTTTTAGCATGGAACCCATTTTAGAAAATTTTCGAATTTGTTTAACTTTACGAATTTTTCCATGTTCAAAAAAATATCAAATGCGCTTAAAAACGAAAAAAAGTCGTCTTAGTAAACATTTTAAGGCATTTTCAGCATGTTTAACACATTTTAGAGGATTTTAGAAAATCATCAATTCAGTGTGAGTAAAGTGAGTAAACAACTTACTGTAGTAATTGTTGGCATTTATGGAACACTATTGATAATTTGATATTAGAAATTGAAAGAAAACAACTTTAATGCCTTAAAATATACTTCCTTTTCTTGACTTCTTTCGTGGAAATTTTATGGAAATTTAAACATGTCGTTTGGTGAATTTTTGAAAATTTTGTGAAATTTATCGAAATTCCAGCCTTACTTGAGGGAAATTTCAAACATGAAAGTGGAAGCACTGAAAAATACTAAAAAAATCCCCTCTTAATGCCTTCTCTCTTTCTCTCTCACTCTCTCTCTCTCTCTCTCTCTCTATATATATATATATATATATATATATATATATATATATATATATATATATATATATATATATATATATATAATGATAATTGCACTTGTATGTGTGCAATTTGGCGTGAAATCAAACGCGTAATTACAAATTTGTAATCACAAAATCATAGCATCCTAAAGCAACCAACTCGACCCCCTCTAAATCTTGCAACTGTCGAGTTAAAGAAGAATGCCCTTTGAACGGCAACTGCGTAATGAAAAGCATCGTGTACAAAGCGCAAGTCCTTTACTTGTAATGGGAGGGAAAACAAACATTGCATTGGGATGACATCGCGGGCAGTTTCAAATTAAGATTCAGCAATTATTGAAATCATTCAAACATGAACGTTATTCCGGTGAAACGGAATTGTCTATAAATACATCTGGAAACTCAAGTCTCAACACGAACCATTCCAAATTAAATGGTCAGTAACGAAGCAAGTTCCCTTCGCGAGCAGCGAAATGACAGTTTGTGCCGTATGTATCGAAGAAAAAAAAACGGATAATGTTGTCGGAGAAGGATAAGTCACTATATAAAAGAACTGAAGAGTTCAGTAAAATATGAATATATATTTAAGGTTGTTAATGATTCAGATCAGAGTTGATTTCGATGAGATTTATTTCATCCCCATTTCAATTTAGATATAATTAGTACAAAACTATAGGCAACTGCTTTGTAATGTGATAGCGTCAAGTTATCAACCTACAAGGCTACAATCACTTCAAATTGCAATTTGTGCTGCATGCATTCGACGTTCCGCTGCCTAGACTAGACTGAGCTTACATCGAACGGTTCCGATTGGACCGAACGAAATGTTCTCAGCTATTTCCAAGGTTTGACCTGGCAACAATTCGAATTTAAATCTCTTCAACAAACGAGCAATAACCAACTTTACTTGTAAGTCTGCAAGTTGCGATGCGATGCAGCGCCGTGGGCCAAGTGAAAACGGGAAGTACGCGTGCGGATAGAGCTTCGCATCCGAAGAGAATCTCTCGGGTTTGAACTCGCTCGGATCTTCCCAATAATCGGGGTGTGTCTGGATAACATATGGATTCACCATGATTGGCGTATCTCCGGGTATCATAATGCCACCAATCACGGTATCTTTTTCGGTTCTTCTAGTCAATGCAGGTGTTGGAGGATGAAGACGGAGTGATTCTTTCACCACCTGAGTGAGATACGACATTGACATGATATCCTGTGCTCTGATCTCTTCGCCTTCACCAAATGTACTGTCTATTTCCTTCCTAAGCCTGTAGAAAAACGAATACTTTTACAGGGGACTCTGAAACTCAGCATAATTTTATGTATATAAGAAAAATCCGAGCTCGCCAAGATGAGAGGCATGACGGACTAAGTTCTTGATCATACAAGTAGAAAACAGAAGTTCATCTATCTTAAAACTTGAAAGAGCATCACAAATTTAGGAGACTTATATATATTCAAATATAGTCTTGGGACGTTTTCAACTGTACTACGCGCACAAAATCGGCACTAATCGAGGTACCCAGAGCAGGTTGGGTATAGTAATTCCTTAAAATACGAATAACGAAATTAAATTTTCGTTACAACAGACATAAATCCTTAAATTCATACCTTTTTTCGACGTCCGGGTTTAAGCCAATAGACAGGGCAGTGAAACAAAGATTGTTCCCTGTAGTGTCCATTCCTGAAAAAGAATGAAATTCTAGGTAAACATTAAAGCTCTTATTTCCAGTACACATTATAAAGCTATTTCAATGAGCAAGTCCTAGTAGCGAAAAAGATTATCATACAAGGTATTCAACTTTTTATATCATCAACCGATTACCTCCGAATACAACGGTTACCAGCATATCCACAAGATCTTCAATATTCCAATTAGGCAAGGTTTCTTTTAATTTGAACACGTACGACAGTGCATCTTCCGGGGTCTGGTTACCAGCGTCTATATCCCTCTGTCGCATTTCTACGACAGATTTTGCAGTTTCTCTTGTGAGACGTGCCCCCTCCGTGCACTTTAGTTTCAGACTTGACCACAGGTTGTACTTGGTTGCTGGACTTTGGAAACTTAACGAAATACCTCTCAACGCATTTTTGAAGTTCACCTCAAACGCAAGCCGATCTTCATCGTTCTTCATTTCCAAATCACATGACCACTTGAAAGAACAATTCGAAAATATTATAAGGAACCTCTTTTAATCTTTTTAGAGCCAAAACAATTATATTCGATGAATTTATAATTAGTTTTTTACTTAATTATAGGATATTAATAACCGTGTATACATGCAGACAGCTTTATTACCTTCCAGATATCAACAAACTAAAAAAGCGCCGAACAGTAATATGTATCTGATGCAAGTACAATAATAATACAAGTACATAGTGTTATTCATACATAACATTATCACTGAAGTTTCTCGTCGCTTGGATTTACTGGCCTTTCACCTACATGCTGGATACGATTGACATGTGCGCTCTCTCTCTCTCTCTCTCTCTGTGTTCAATATATATATGCGTTGTAAAGTATTGTATTTCATTCTGTCTGAAGATGACTTTAAAATAAAGTCGAAAATTTACAGTTTCAACATTTAACCTGTGTCTTGATTCATATATTTTGACTCTCAAGATGTCTTGTTTATTCGGAATTTGTTTTTTTTACTGTAAGTTGGTATAGATAAACTTACTAACCTTCAGGATTGTCTCTAGGGTAACCAACAGGAATTCATCAGCTAAGGAAATCTCGGTTTTACCATCAGCATACGTTTCCAGTCTTTCGAGAAAATTCTCGCAGCAAGCGTTTAATGTTGGGAACGCCTCATAAACTTTCTTTTGATGGAACAACGGCGTGAACGTGCGTCGCTTAGCCTCCCAAGTCAGACGGTTCAGGTCGGTGAAAAGGCCATATCCAAGAAAGCGTTGCCCGTACACAAACTGAAACCTCGCATAACCAAAATGATCCTTGGGGAGGTTCTTCACGACAAGCACATCACGAACAACATCGGCATCGCTGACAACCGTCAAAGGGACGTGAAAGAACCATATGACGAATACAGGGCGATATTCGGTCGACCAATCGGCTAGAGTTTGATGTATATTCTTTCCCTCGACAAGTCTCCTACGACGAATCTCCAGTAAATTTCCAAAGAAAAAGTTGCCTCGAGGTGGACCAGGAATATGACTAAGTTTGTAGTGCATGTAATAAATATACAGCGTGAATCCAAGGAAAAGTGCGATGAGGCAGACGAACAAGAGCTGTAGAACGAGTGCTAACAACATCGAAGAGTCAGCCATGTTTTCGACTTATAATATAGTCTAATTTATGTCGAGTGGCGATATATCACGGATATGATACTTGTAGCCATGGCGATCATGGCAGAGACGTGCATGTGTGCATTTCTACTGTGTGATTCTTTCCTTTTATAAAACGCATGCATGCCCACTGTTTTAACGATTAGAAAACATTGAAAACGTTTTTACCTACCTTGTCCAAATGTTTGCATTTATTTCGGCTGCGTTATTGATGTTGGAATCCTGCTTGATAATCCCTCTCTATACCGTAATAATATAGCGTATATCGTTTAAAGTAATTTGAGTGCATTATTTGCTAATCCATATCAAATGATTGGGTAATTAGCAACATATTAATTTACATCACTTAGTCATTATCAAGCCAAATTATCGGAGTATTCATCGGCATAATTTGTTAAATCCGATATTCTTTCCATCACTGATTAGCTACTTGTCTTCAATTGGTGCATAACAAGTGCGATCTTTTCGTGTTCCTGAATGTGCATCCGCGATATTGTTATAATATAAATAGATAAATTATCATCCCAGTATTGAATACTGGTGCTCTGGGGGTTGTTAAGTTTATGTTTATGTTTAAGTTTCCTCATTGACATGGAAACACGAATGGGATCTACAGACATTCATCCAGCGCGAACTCGTTTCCCGCCATAATATTCAAAGCAATCAGATTTATATAGTTTACCTTGAAGGTAACTCGTACACATTTTTTTCCAGTGTCTCCTCTTGTTCTCACGTAGTTTAGTTATACTATACAGATTATACTTCTCTGTCAACTCAATGACTCGCTCGACCCACAATTAATTAAACTTTTCATTCTTCGTTCAGCTCACGCTTTTTCTTTATCGGCTTGTTCCCAGCGCTGTTTCGTTATAGATTTCAGATAAATGCTCGATTTCTAATCCGAAGAAATATACTGTATATGCTTGATTACCAGTAATTGCGACGGTATGTCCGTATGTGGCATGTACAATAATTAGATTATCCATACAGATGCGATCAGTCCAATAAATAATACCAGTTTCCTAACCAACCATATGGACCGGACCGGTCATAATGACTTGGATTTTGATTTTCAAAGTGAATTTTGAGCCGAAAGTGTGATGGGCTTGTGATAAACTAACAAATAAATACAGAAAGATTGAGAGACCGTGATAACGATGACTCACGCAATGTAAAACGAAAGAGAAAATGTTTTGGTGAGTGAAAATCTGTTTTCACAAGTATTACAGTATAGGCTAGCAATATTCAGATATTTGTATATGTATAATTACTCCGGCGTCAGCGACGGAGTTGAAAATTCGCCTCGGTTTTGTTTTGTTTTTGATGTTTTTTTTTATTAATTTTTTTTAATATTTTTCGTCGTCGCAAGTCTGAAATGGCGCGAAATATACTAGTATTTGAAATGTGTATGTGATTGGATTTATCTATGTCCCAGTCTTGTCTCCCAAGAGTTGTGGTGCACAGCTTTGGCTAATTTTCCGATGCGCGATTCGATTTCGCTCGCATGATACGGCAATTCCTCCAGGAGGAACAAATAAACCGTTCTTTTCATGCTTTTCGATTAAGTTTAGATTGAATTGGGGTAAGAATATATTTAATACATGAAGATTCTGGTACTATTTTAGTAATATCGCTGCTATTTCGCCGTTTAACAAGTTGATGTGGTCGTGTATGAGCGCTTTGACTCGTCATACTTCGCACATGCAGGATTGAAGATTTAATATAACTATATAAGCGCGAATTCCAAAGGCAAAGTGTAAGGCCTCTTTTCCACTCATCGTAAAATCAACTCGCAAGATCGCTGCGAGTTCTTGCATCTAATTAAAATAGACTGACAAGCATTGTGATTGGACGAAACTAATCGCAGCGAGCTTGCGAGTAAGTTTTTGCGATGAGTGGGTGAGGGCCTTAAGACAAAGCGAATGTATCATGCCGTTTATTTACATTTTTGAACAATTGAACTTCTATACTTTTTAAAGTACGATGTGCTTCTGAATTTCGCGATCGAACGACATTTAGGTTCGCAAGGCATCTAAATGAATATGAACTGTATTGTTCATGTTCAGAAGCTTTATATTGAAGACTGGCACGTGCACGGCACGCCGGAGTTAACGCCAGAACTGGCGTCTTGTTTAATATAGTCCCCGCGCAGACGTGCGTTATAGTATGGATTTCTGAATTTCCAATCTCTTCATATTCATCCCGATTCGGTAATAAATTATAAGGGTTTCCGAAATTCGGACACCTCTATATTTTCCCTATATTTATCTTGGATTCTTATATATACGGGTTCCGAAATTTCTACACCTCTAGAGATTTTCTTTTGGGCGTTTCCGAAATTCGGAAACCCCTTTCTTTCACCAAAATGAAAGGCTTTACAATTTTCAGCAGATTTTTCCTGTAAGTGTTGGCGAAATTCTTTGTCCTTATTCTCCTAACTAATAGTATATATAAAGGGCGAAAAATTTAGATTCTTATTAACAGTTGGGAAAAAATAAGCGTGTTTTCGCTTAAATATAATAAAATTACTTCATATTTTTGAGAGTCGAAGTCACATGCAATGAAGGAAATGATAACTCAGTTTTGTCGAATATCTGGCTTCTGATTGGTTTATTGTCATACCCAGATCAGCTGGTAATCCCTAAGTTAATCTCTTATATACGTAATAAAGCTAGGGGGCTCCGAAATTCGGAAACCCTTATGTTTCCCCCAAATAAAATGCTTTTACAATTTTCAGCAAATTTTCTTGTTTTTTAATTGAATTTGAAGCTATACTTGATTCGCTCCGACAAATTCAACTTAAAAGACTGAAATCGTAAGAAAAAAAATTGCATTTTTCCTGTTCCGGCGAAATCGGACATTTTCACCAACCGGGCGTTTTCACAAAATTTGGGGTATATGGCAAGTCTTTTTCGGCAAGTCTATGGATTTTACAACGTTAGCAATGGTGAAAGTATCTTGACGGGGAATGGGGAAGCATACCATGCATGTTATTTATATATTGGATCTAAAATAATGTAGTAGTGTGTTGTATTTCCAATCTGATATTGTTTTACTGAATTGGAATATAATTTTATATAAATACTGGTTATACACATTATTTTATCAAAGAATTACAAACTCATTTTAGATGAGTAAAATTATTATTCATTGAGTTGATTATCGCAATCTTCTCATAACGTTTCCGCGACAGTATTTTCAGTCGAAGTTTGAATTTCAGTCTTTTACCGTAAATCTTTCCTTGGAATAAGAAAGTTCTTTCGCATTGGTCAGCAATAACAAAATTTTTATGTCACACTTAATGAGCGCATGTGGTTGAACTTTTTAAATACAGGCGATTGTGTTTCAATGAAAGTGAGTTGTTGCTTATACTCTTGGAGGAAAAAAGCTACTTTTTGATTATCTATGTATCTATGTATCTATGTATCTACGTATATTGTGTGCTCGTATATTGCGACGTGTCCGTTTATTGATTTTGCTAGACCCGAGTATCAACTGGTCGAGTTTGACTTTCAGAAGGCAAACCATCTTCATCAAAGCCAGGTATAGCATCAATGCTAGCGAATGGCGAGCCACTGTATGGCGAATCTCGTTCAAATTCCCATCCACGTGCTGAGTAAATCGAGTCTGGCGGCGTATCGAATTCGTAGCTCTTAAATTTGCTTCTTCCCGAGCTATTTTTCACCACACTACTGAAATTTATTAAGACATAATTCATTGTGAGTTTGAATATGTTTGTCGCTATCAAATAGACCGTTTAAGTATATAAGCGATGTAATTTTTTTCTGGATGCATGCATGCACATATTAAACAACTTCACTTACATAATAATTGATAGGATCACAAATATAAACAGTAGTAGTCCACCAATTGACAATCCTAATATTAACGGCCAATCTACTTTACTTTCGCTGGTTTTTATCGTTTCAGTCGGTGCTGTGGTTGCATTCGGTGCTGTCGTTGCATTCGGTGCTGTCGTTGCAGTCCGCGCTGTGGTTGCATTCGGTGCTGTGGTTGCAGTCCGTGCTGTCGTTGCAGTCGGTACTGTCGTTGCAGTCGCTGCTGTCGTTGCAGTCGGTGCTGTCGTTTTAGTCGGTGCTGTGATTGCAGTCGGTGCTGTCGTTGCAGTCGGTGCTGTCGTTGCAGTCGCTGCTGTCGTTGGGGTCGCTGCTGTCGTTGCAGTCGGTGCTGTCGTTTTAGTCGGTGCTGTGATTGCAGTCGGTGCTGTCGTTGCAGTCGGTGCTGTCGTTGCAGTCGCTGCTGTCGTTGCAGTCGCTGCTGTCGTTGCAGTCGGTGCTGTCGTTTCAGTCGGTGCTGTGATTGCAGTCGGTGCTGTCGTTGCAGTCGCTGCTGTCGTTTCAGTCGCTGCTGTCGTTGCAGTCGCTGCTGTCGTTGCAGTCGCTGCTGTCGTTGCCGTCGGTGCTGTAGTTGCAGTCGGTGCTATCGTTGCAGTCGGTGCTGTCGTTGCAGTCGCTGCTGTCGTTGCAGTGGGTGCGGTCGTTACAGTCGCTGCTGTCGTTGCAGTCGCTGCTGTCGTTGCAGTCGCTGCTGTCGTTGCAGTCGCTGCTGTCGTTGCAGTCGCTGCAGTCGCTGCTGTCGTTGCAGTCGCTGCTGTCGTTGCAGTCGCTGCTGTCGTTGCAGTCGCTGCTGTCGTTGCAGTCGCTGCTGTCGTTGCAGTCGGTGCTGTCTTTGCAGTCACTGCTGTCGTTGCAGTCGCTGCTGTCGTTGCAGTCGCTGCTGTCGTTGCAGTCGCTGCAGTCAGTGCTGTCGTTGCAGTCGCTGCAGTCGGTGCTGTCGTTGCAGTCGTTGCTGTCGTTGTAGTCGCTGCTGTCGTTGCAGTCGCTGCTGTCGTTGCAGTCGCTCCAGTCGCTGCTGTCGTTGCAGTCGCTGCTGTCGTTGCATTCGCTTCTGTCGTTGCATTCGGTGCAGCCGTTGCAGTCGCTGCAGTCGCTTCTGTCGTTGCAGTCGCTGCTGTCGTTGCAGTCGCTGCAGTAAGTGCTGTCGTCGCAGTCGTTGCAGTCGGTGCTGTGGTTGCAGTCGGTGCTCTCGTTGCAGTCGCTGCTGTGGTTGCTGTCGTTGCCGTCGGGGCTTTTGTTGCAGTCGCTGCTGTCGTTGCAGTCGCTGCAGTTGGTGCTGTCGTTGCAGTCGGCGCTGTCGTTGCTGTCGCTGCTGTCGTTGCAGTCGCTGCTGTCGTTGCAGTCGTTGCTGTTACTGTCATTTTTAGGCCGAGAATATCGGACGTAAAATTTCCTTTTATGACTTCTTGTACGCCACTAGATGAAAGTGGTGCTCCTTCTGAACTGTCCGGGTCTTTGACAGCGAAGCTAATTGCTCCAGTTCCATCGATCTGGACAAGAACATCGTCTTTGGTAAAGTTTCTGAAAGGCGATAAGACAATTAATGTGCGATAAGATCGAGCGAACATAATAGCTATTGGTTTTTTTAATATATAACTATTATGGCTTAATATAGACTATAATAAAATACAGAGGCACATATGGAAAAACAAAAAAAAAGTGACTAAATCCCAACGTACCTTGTTTTAGGACAAATATCAGCAGAGTTGTTCTGACAATTTTCGTTCAACCTATTAGCAATTGTAAGTTGTACATCCAATCTAACGGCATCAGTGGGATGCTAAAATCAAAGAAAAGAAAATACTTTATAAGACCGTATCTTAAAATTAGGACGTCTTTAAGGGCATGTCTTAGGAATGTTCAAAGATAAAATGTAATTCTTCAAAAAAAGCCCTTGCCAACGAACAAATGTTGCATATAGTAGAATCTTCCTTTCATATGCAAAATTCTTTTACCTGTGACGCATCCATGACTGTCAGCTGAACTAGATTGTCAGTTTCATTCTTTGACAGTTGGGCATTTTGGCTCGTTGAAGCAAACGTAGTTGGTTGTGATATAACGTTCGGCGAAAGGCTGTAAATAGTTGTTAATAGTTCGGAAGGCATTGTTTTTCCACTCGGCAAGTCGACGAAAAAAGACAACACTGCATTGCTGCCATCTTGCGTGGGGGAATTAGGCAATATCTGCACATTCTGAACATCAATCTGAGCCACCTGAGCCCTATAATACACGTAAAATGCAATCAAAAGGGTGTCACTGCTGCATGTAGATTATGTATTTGAGTAGTATATTCCCTTCTTGAGAAAATCACACTAAACATGGGTTTTATGTAATCCAAAGTTTCTTAGCAACTTACTTTGATTGAAAATTTCTTTCTATTATTTTGAGATTAATGACAGTACGTGTATGTATAAATACATTCACCGTTGCAAAAGATGATAGGGCACTCTACCAATATACATGCAAGGCACCTCAATAGAACAACGTAGTTCCGCTAGGCTTTATATATTTAATTTACATGTCTTTGTTATTATAAAAATTTCGCAAATAGGGCGAGAATATCTTTAGAATGATCGCGGAATCATGCATGTTCATTATAAATGTATTGATAACATAATAATTAATACATTATTATAAATTATTATATTAATATAATATTATAATTATAAATATATATATTATAAATAACAAATACTTCCTAACTGTTATAGACACAACAACAGTATATTTATCTTATAAATAATTTGATTATAATATAGGTTATACTCCTATTGTATCATATAACTCTAAATATTTTCACATAATTTGATGATAAAATTTTGTGAACATACCGTGTAAGGCCGCACAAAGCCAATCGCGCATCACTTTCATTACAAAATTGGATGATTGCTTGCGACATATTGTTTCGGAATGATATGTCTTGTTGCAGCGTCCACTAAAAACACAATTATCAATGTAGTGAATTTTGGAATGTCGCCATGAATATACGCGTAACCTCCTCGTAGGATGGGGAGGTACAACGAACAATGCATTAATCTTTGTTGAAGTAAAAAAATTGTCAAAGTGTAAGAATTGAGATACGCGGAATCCTTAAAGTTTCCCACATAATCGCTGAACAAATTAAGGGATTTGCTACACATTTAACAACAACAATCACACAAACGTCTTTAAAAAAAGCCGTTTTGTATGCCCATAGATTCCTAAAGACATGGTCATGGTCACAAGTACTCAGTTGATCACTGTGCCAAATGTGTCAAAATATTTTCACATAGTGCAGGAATTTACTAAAACTGATTCACTACTGTATATCCTCCTAGCTACATTAATTAAACATCTGTAGATACGCAACATGATACGGCTGAGAATAATTCTGCAGTACCTGGCTTGTATTCGTATTAGTTAAGGTAACATTGATTGCGTTGTTTCGCTGAGTTTCCGATACAGTGGGTGGATTGAAAACACCAAGAGTGAGACTGGAAACATCAGATTCACCATTTTCTTGCAACGTTTGATGTAAAGCATCTTTAACAACATCGGTTTCAACGGGAATATTAGTTCCTGGTTTGTTGACAACAGCACCTACCACCGTATTACTCCCAGACTCCGTAACGTTGGCATTGAGTAGAACATCATTTTCACTGAACATTTGGTTTCTGTAAAGCGCAAAATCATTAATTAATGTTATATGTTTGGTGCAAAGTTTCTAGAAAGTAGTGCAAAGATCTGAAAAAGACGTTTGTTTGATGCAAATGAATGTAATTTGATGAAACTAACTCGACGTTAGAAATTACAAATTTAAGATTGGTTTAAAATGTAACTAAAAACCTGTTCACATGCAACAACCTTTTTTTGGTTGTTTTTATGAAATAAAATTCATCAAAAGGAGATGAATTAATCTAAAACAACCAATTTTAAATTTATTTTGTTTTTTTCATAGTTATTTTTTTAATGTCATTCAATGATTGTTCTTAGAATTATGGCATTTTATTATCCACTTACCCAGCAGCTCTCTTCTTCCTTCGGCTGGAATTAAGATATAAAACGTTATTAAAACCCTAATGTGAATAATTTGTCACGATAATAATATTTTATTATGTTATATTGGCAAGCATGAAGCTAAGCCAGGGGCCATGCAGGGGCGTATATAAAACGCTTAACTATGTTTTGGGTACGATTCTGATTGAGCATGGAATTCTGTCACAAACTATAAACGCTTTTATACACAACCGCCCAAGATGGCTCCTGTAACCTGAAGCAAGTTACTGATTCATGGCGGAAAACAATAAGTTTGGCTCATTCTATAGTCAGTCGGTGAGAAAATGCATGTACCATTAAAAATGTTTTTATTTCTGAGTCATTCTAATTTCAAAGAATCTTAATAATTATAATTGTAATGCATGCCAATTGTTTAACCAAAGTAGCTATCGCATGCATGTGGTTAGCTAAATTTAAATGATTAAACGACTGTGTATTCGAACTTACCTAGCGCCTGAATGGAGGCCGCATATATCTCCTGTTGTACTGAAACAAAATGTGTTCATTCTGGCAGCCACCGTCACTTTAATATCGACCACAACCAACGCTGTATACTATATCGAATGGCGTAAGATGGTGTGAGTTTATACGTTATAAATCAATGAGAGTTATCACTGTCCATATTGCTGCATGTGACAACATTTCAAAACAAGTTAAAAATATCCTGAGTTTTTTTCTTTTAAATACTCTTTTAGTGCTATAAGTTGGTTCATGCTAAAACAACTGCATCTATACACATTCCAGTTTCTCAGTTTGCGCTTTTCAATGTTTCAATGGACGACTTGCGCTTTAGACTAATTTCTTACTTCGGCGATAAAAAGGACATTTTCTGAAAGAGCTTACTAAAATAAGTAAAACTGCCAAGTTTGACGGCGAATTGTTGTAAAATACGGAAAATATAGCCATGCGAAGTTGTCAATTTTTGTATACTTTTGTATTACGACCGGAAGTTTGTAACTAAATTAAGCCCCGTTTACACTACATGCACTCAATTTATCGGCACGGCGCGGCTAAAATAGGTACCCGTGCCCAATTTTAATAGTGCTCAGGCTACCAAAAGAAAGGCCGGGCACGGATGAAATGGGCACGGGTACTCATTTTAGCCGTGCCGTGCCGATAAATCGAGTGCAGTGTAAACGGGGCTTTAGTTACACATTTCCGCACGTAATACAAAAGTATACAAAATTTGCCAACTTCGCATGGCTATACCTTCCGTATTTTACAAATTTTCGCAGCCAAATTTGACAGTTTTACTAATTTAAGTAAGATTTTTCTAGCTGGGATGATTTATTTTCCTCTAGTTACTTTGATCAAAAGTTAGTCGAAAGCGCAAGTCGTCTATTGTATATATTCGACTAATGTGAATATTAACAAGTAGCATTAAGTAAATGGCAATCGTTTTAAAACAATTAAGACAGAGAGCCTCAAACAACCTCATCCTCAACCAGACAAACAACCCTCATCTTCGATGCAGTCAAATGGCAAGGCAGACTCGGCTCGCAAAGCGTGTCGGTTTTACAGCACGAGTCACGACTCACCTTCTTTGGATTGAAGTTGAAAATTGTTATCGACACCACGTTGTTTATTTGTGCTGTTGTAAGAGTTGGAGTTTCGCTGCTTGGTACACTTGTACCAGGGTCTTTGAGCTCGCTATTGATGGTAGGAAGTATGTTTTCTTGTTCCGTTACAAATATCGTTGCCAAGACGCTCACAGGTAACGCGCCACTGCCTCCTGGTAAACTTGCGTAAAATGACAGGATGGAATCGGTTCCGTTTTGTGTCGGTGTGTTTGGGAGTCTCTTAATGTGGTCAGCGGTAAAATTATTTCTGACAGCCCTAGAAAAAAATTAATGTAGATATAATTAGGTATAGCGGCCTTTGAAGTTCTCTATAGAACACAGCAAAGTTTTTCGATTATATGAATTAAATCCTTGATTAGAACGATTTTGTAGAATATTGCAGGACGAAAAGCGTTTTTTAACGTTATTCATAGACCATAGACTACCAAAGCTGTAAAAGCTAAAAGCCCATTGTTCCATGGTATGTCCGTTGGCTATCCGTCTCGTTTCTATGATCAACGGATTGACACTGAGGACGGCAAATCAAGTACAGTTTTTATCATTTTAGCTAGCACATACTACAGTTACAGATCGCTTTAGCCAATCCAACAGAAGCACGGTCACATTGTACTAACAATCATAAATGCCTTTATAACCAGACTTACTCTGAAATATTACAGATTGTGCGATGATGATGTCCTCTTCCACAAAAGTTCTTGATGGCATCTGACATATTTTGTAGAAACTGCGCGTTTTGAGCTGGCCACTAAATGAATTATTCAAAAGTATGAAATCTACTAAAAAGCGCAAGTCTGCCTTTGGAGAACTATAGACTAGGTGGGCCTATGTTGCATAGGTCAATTCAAATGTGGTGGGGTGTTATATTATATTGTGAAACATTTACTGACGAAAACACGAATAGAAAGCCTTCATGTTAATTTATTATAAGGCTACAAATTAAACTTTCATTTATATTTTACATGTATAACAAACCTCATCGGCTTGGAAATTTTTCAACACCACATGAATTGCGTTTTCTGTCAACAGTCGTGTTATTCTCAATTTAAGGCCGAGTATTTGGGTCGTGAAGTTTCCATTTATTTCCTCTTGGACATCAATGGATGAAATTGGTCGTCCTTCAAGGTTGTCTGGATCTTTTACGACGAAGCTAACGTCTCTTGTATCTGGATCAATTTGGACAACAATGTTGTCGTTGTCGAATTCCCTGATAAGATATAAGGTACTTATTTACACTAAATATAATTATGATAGGAGCAGCATGTTTTCGACACGGTTGCAAAAACAAGATCTATAGTAGGAACGTCAGGTGTGGCGTCTAGAGATGAAAAAATTAAGAGCATTCCTGCATTCTCAGCACGCATCTTTAAAAAAGGGAAAAACTTCTTCAGTGCCATGAAAACCGTCTAAAATTGTCAAAAACACTTCTCGACCTTTCGACCTAAAGGCCCTTGTCAGGAGAGTGTGGTCATACTGACGTCTTTGGCTATTCTAGGTAGTTATACCACATTTGATATAAAGTTGTTATGGAAGACTCCACTATCCTGATCGACTGCTGCTATGAAATCGTTTTTATGCACGTCTTGGTCCATAGCCGACTAACACTTTTTAGATAAAGCCCATTTAGTTAATTCATCCCAAAAGAAAGCTTGGAAATACAGAATATGAAATCGCTTTGTTCTTTGTAGTATATACAGTTGTAAAAGAGCAGTATTAAAGTAAAATTTTGGTGTTGTAATTGTGAAGATGCGACAACAGTATAATTTATGTTTGAACAACTGAACTGTGCATTGCGGTCCTGCCAATTTGAAGTAGTTTATTGACAGGGATAGCGAACCAGCAAGTTTTGTAGGGGAAACAAATTAATCGAGGATTTTTAGTCACCGCTTAAAAAAATGACCATCTGTTTTACTCCTCCACATGCAAAAATTGAAATCGCTAACCTATACCTGCTAGTGGGACAAATGGTTGCCCCAGAATTTCTGCCACAATACTCCTTCAACCTGTCGGCAATCGCAACTTGGATATCTAACCTAACGGCATCATCGGGATGCTAAAATTGAAGAAAGTAAATAACTTTATAAAGATTCATAAATCAGGAATATCGCATATTTGAAGAAGAGGTGCATATGGGAGGGAATTTCCCCGTTAAGATTTGTTCTGTTCAACAGGCCCGCTAAAGGAACTAGTAGAATTAGAATTTTCCCTCACTCATGCGGTTGGCACATAAGCTTATGAAAAAATAATTCATTGCTGTTGTGCATGCACTGCAATGGTGAATGAAACTCCAGCTCATTCACTATGAAGTCCAAATTTACCTGCGCCATACCCTCGACTGTCAGCTGTATGAGATTTTCCGTTTGCTCCCTTGTAAGGTTGGTATTTTTGCTTGTTGAAACAATCTCATTTGGTTGTGACATGACATTTGCCGACACGCTGTAAATAGCTGCTACGAGACCAGGAGACATTGTTGTTCCATCTGGTAGATTAACGAAAAATGATAGTATTGCGTCGTTGCCATTTTGTGTGGGCGATTTAGGCAATATCTGTACATGTTGAAAACTAATTTGATCAACCTGATCCCTAAAAAACAAAAAATAACATAAACTGATTAAAAATGGTCTCACTGTCATAATGTTGAACAACTTATTTTCTTTTCCTGTTGCATTACTCTACACAAATAGCCAAAGGTAATGCTAATTTCTTCAAAGATTATATAAACAGCATGCCGGTGTTTTCCAAGCAGTCTTCAACTTGAAGTCTTAAACGTCCCTTTCAGCGTTCTATGTCAATCGTTTTTGTGATGTTAAGAAGATCCAAAAATTGTCACAAGCTTAGGAGTCGAGAGATCGTGCCGTAAACAGTTTTCCGTTTAACTTAGAATGAGCCTACCTCGTAAGATTGCACGAGGCCAATCGTGCGTCACTTTCACCACAAAATTGCATAATTGCTTGGGACATATTATGTCGGAATGAAATATCTTGTTGAAGTGTCCACTAAAAATACAATATGTGGTGAGTTGAATTTTTAGAACAAAGGTTGATCAAAACAAAGAAATGAAATGAGAGATACGCATTAAATTTTCCGTGTTATCAAAATTGGTAACCGTGCTATGGGATGAAAACATCTTGCCGACTTTATGAAATTCGACATGGAAGCAACCTAGATTCGGTCGTATAAAAGATTGAATAAAAAGGTATTTAATTTGTTATATCATAATATTTCAAACAACTGAAGTGCAGTCTCGCGTTCAATTTCACCAGTTCAAGATGTTATGCAGTTATTATTATCTTACAATATAGTTATTTTACAACACGTGGAAATTAAGTGAGAGTGCATGGTTGCATATAATTTTTTTAATGCCCACACATCTAAATCTCTTCCCACATCATGTCGCCTGATTTGGTTATTTTATTTACGAGGAACACTTGTTTAACCAAGATTATATGGATATATCCTGGAATATATGAATTGCTACACTTCAATGACAAATACGATGCAGTTATTCAGAGTATGTGGAACAATTCCTACCTGACTTGCATTCGTATTGGTTAACCTTACACTGGCTGCGTTATCTTCCTGAGTTTCCAATACAGTGGGCGTATTGACAACGCCAAGAGTGAGACTGGAAATATCTGATTCACCATTTTCTTGCAACGTTTGATGTAAAGCATCTTCAACAATATCGGTTTCAACAGGAGTGATAGTTCCTGGTTCGTTGACAACAGCACCTACCACCGTATTATTACCAGACTCCGTAACGTTGGAATTGAGTAGAACATCATTTTCACTGAACATTTGGTTTCTTTAAAGTGCAGAATCACTAATTAAATGTTATATGTATGCACGGTGCAAATGTTTGATGCAAATGAATGTAATTTGATGTAATTATATATGCGACATTAGAAATGACAAATTTAAAATTGGTTAAAAAATATAACTAAAAACATGTTGACAATAACCTCCTTATGTTTTTTTTTATTAAATAGAATTCATCAAAAAGAGATGAATTAAACTGAAACAATCAATTTTAAATTAATTTTGTTTTTTTGGAAGGTTTTTTTTTAATGTCATTCAATGATTGTTTTTCCTAAGTAGAGGATAAAAATTATGGCATTTTATTATCCACTTACCCAGCAGCTCTCTTCTTCCTTCGGCTGGAATTAGATATAAAAAGTTATTAAAAGCCTAATGTGAATACATTTTCACGATAGTATTACGCTATATTGGCAAGCATGAAGCTAAGCCAGGGGTGTATATACCATGAAATTCTGTCACTAACGAAATGCTTTTACACAACCGGCCCAAAATGGCTCTTGTAAATTCAAGCATGCTTATTGATTTATGGCCGAAAACAATAAGCTTGGCTCATTCTGTAGTTGGATCTGTGAAAAAATGCATGCACCAATAAAATTTTTTTTCTGAGTAATTCTAATTTCAAAGAATCTTAATAATAATTATGGATAACAATTGTTCAACCAGAGTAGCTATTGCATGTGGTTAGCTGCATGAATTCAAATGATTAAACGACTGTGTATTCGAACTTACCTAGCGCCTGAATTGAAGCCGCATATATCCCCTGTTGTACTGAAACAAAATGTGTTCATTCTGGCAGCCACCGTCACTTTAATATCGACCACAACCAACGCTGTATACTATATCGAATGGCGTAAGATGGTGTGAGTTTATACGTTATAAATAAATGAGAGTTATCACTGTCCATATTGCTGCATGTGACAACATTTCAAAACAAGTTAAAAATATCCTGAGTTTTTTCTTTTAATACTCTTTAGTGCTATAGTTGTCATGCTAAAACAACTGCATCTATGCATATTCCAGTTTCTCATTTTGCGCTTTTCAATGTTTCAATTGTATATATTCGACTAATGTGAATATTAACAAGTAGCATTAAGTAAATGGCAATCGTTTTAAAACAATTAAGACAGAGAGCCTCAAACAACCTCATCCTCAACCAGACAAACAACCCTCATCTTCGATGTAGTCAAATGCAAGGCAGACTCGGCTCGCAATGCGTGTCAGTTTCACAGCACGAGTCACGACTCACCTTCTTTGGATTGAAGTTGAAAATTGTTATCGACACCAAGTTGTTTATTTGTGCTGTTGTAAGAGTTGGAGTTTCGCTGCTTGGTACACTTGTACCGGGTCTTGAGCTCGCTATTGATGGTAGGAAGTATGTTTCTGTTCCGTTACAAATATCGTTGCCAAGACGCTCACAGGTAACGCGCCACTGCCTCCTGGTAAACTTGCGTAAAATGACAGGATGGAATCGGTTCCGTTTTGTGTCGGTGTTTGGGAGTCTCTTAATGTGGTCAGCGGTAAAATTATTTCTGACAGCCCTAGAAAAATTAATGTAATATAATTAGGTATAGCGGCCTTTGAAGTTCTTCTATAGACACAGCAAAGTTTTCGATTAATGAATTAAATCCTGATTAGAACGATTTTGTAAATATTGCAGGACGAAAAGCGTTTTTTAACGTTATTCATAGACCATAGACTACCAAAGCTGTAAAAGCTAAAAGCCCATTGTTCCATGTATGTCCGTTGGCTATCCGTCTTTTCTATGATCAACGGATTGACACTGAGGACGGCAATCAAGTACAGTTTTTATCATTTTTAGCTAGCACATACTACAGTTACAGATCGCTTTAGCCAATCCAACAGAGCACGGTCACATTGTACTAACAATCACAAATGCGTTTATAACCAGACTTACTCTGAATATTACAG